CATGTTCATCTGTTTCATTTCTTAAATTCTTAAATTTCTTAAATTTCATTTCTTAAATGAGTCACATAATTTCTCAAATTAAAACTGAAGATATACTCTTCTTTTTCTAGTCCCCCATCCTCAACCAATCCATCAGGAAGTACTGTAGACTAAACTTCCAACCTGTCTATCTTCCTTCATTGCCTTTCTCTTAACCCAGACCATCCTCTTGCCTTGCTTGGACCACTGAAATTTCCTAATTGGTTTCTCATATTCCAATCCTGTAACATCTTCCACAAAGTTCCTAATTTTTTAAAAATGGTTTTAAACTTTTTATTATAAAATATTGCAAATATTTAGATGGAAATAGGCCCTCAAGGTTTATAAAATCTTAACATTGTATTATATTTGCTTCACAATTTTTTTTTTTTTCCTAAAGAAGGAAAACTTAAAAAAAAACGGAAGGGAAACCATTGGTAGAGTTGGAACCTCCTCTATACCCCTCCCTGACGCCATTTCCCCCTTTCTTCCCAAAGGTAACCACTTACATAAATTTAGAGTTTATTATTCTCATGTATGCTTTATACTTCTGGTACATATTTGAATCCATACATAGTGTTTAGTATCGTTTTTAAATATTAGTGGTATTATGTAGATGGTATCAAATTACAGGTTGTTTATTTTACTTAACATGTTTTTGATATTCATATTAACATAAGCAGCTTTAGTTTATTCATTAAAATTGTTGTATAGTATGGTATCAGAACAAGAGATCATAATTTGTTTATTTTTCTATTGACCAACATTGAAATGGTTTTTCATTTTTTCTTTTCATAATTGATGTTACAGTCAACATTTGTGTATTTCTTTTCTGTACATGTGCAAAAGTATCTCTAAATATACACTAAGGAATGAAATGTGGGGCCTTAGGGCCTTTCCAACTTTTTTATATTTTTGCATAATTGCAGTACAATCTTAAAGAAAAACTCCTAACACTCAAAAAAATTATTTTGGAGCACCTACGATATGCCTGTAAGAAGCAGGAAACCAGAGAGACAAAATCTGGGCTGTCTTAGATCTTATATATTAATGGAGGGAGAACAAGTAAACTAATAAGATGATTTCAGGGAATGCTAAGTGCTGGATAATGAGTCATGTCATCCTCTGCTTTAAGATCGTCAATGACATTTAGGGTTAATGTTGTAACTCCTTTCCAAGCCTGTAAGACTTGGTACCATCTGTCCCCTGCCTCCCTCCTTTCTCCCTTTGACTCCCTGTGCTTTTGCCACACTGACCTTGGAGTTTGGGGAACTTACTAAGCTTTTTCCTTCTTCAGGACCTTCACACGTATTGTTATAGCTTCCTGGAAAGTTCTTCCCAACTTTCTTTGTTAATTCTTTTTTTTTTTTTAAGATTTTATTTATTTATTTGACAGAGAGAGAGATAGCGAGAACAGGAACACAAGCAGGGAGAGTGGGAGAGGGAGAAGCAGGCTTCTTGCTGAGCAGGGAGTCCAATGTGGGGCTCGATCCCAGCCTGGGATCATGACCTGTGCCGAAGGCAGATGCCTAACGACTGAGCCACCCAGGTGCCCCTCTTTGGCTAATTCTTACTCATGATGCAAGCCATAGCTTACTTGTCCTGTTTTCAGATAGACCATAGAAATAGGTCCCTCCTGTTAAGTCTCTCTCAGGGCACCCTGTTATTTTCCTGGTTCACTTACTACAATACATGATTATACATTTATATGTCATCTGCCTCACCTACTAGATTGCAGGTCTGTGAAGGCAGGGATGATGCCTCTCTGGCTTCCTGCCATATCTCCTAGCTCACAGCTTGACATATAATGGTTCTTCGGTGAATTTTTTAAAAAATTAATAAAAATTAGTGTTTTTCTGAAAGTTTGATTGCAGACTCATTTTGAGCAGGAGATTTGGTTTAGTTTGGGTTTTGATTTCCCTCTCTCCTTCACGGCTTTTCTCTCCCTAACTAAGGGTTTAGGGTAGCTTCCATGAGTCCCCAGAACAGAACCAGGTCTTAGTATGGAGTTTAAGGGCTCCTGTCCTTGTGACACTAAAGATAACAGACTTCATCAGAAGGCCAACAGTTTTGAGGTTTTGAGGCTATCACCCCTGTCCACAGCCAGCCTCCCTCGCCTCTTAGATGAAATTCATAGCTCTAGATGGTGGTAGACAGTAGGGCTTTGTTGTTTTTTAAGCCTCTTTTAAGAAAGAATATTGAGGTCCTTGGGAGAAGCTTCACTCCACTCAGCCCCTTGCTTGAAGCAGTGAGCCTGGATCTAGTTTATCATCTTCCTTGGAATCTTTTTAGTCCCTGTTACCTTTTCTTTTTCTTTTCTTTTCTTTTTAAAAAGATTTTATTTCTTTATTTGACAGAGAGAGAGAGAAAACATAAGTAGGCCGAGCAGTAGACAGAGGGAGAGGGAGAAGTAGGCTCCTCCCTGAGCAGAGAACCTCTGTTACCTTTTGAGGAGCCAGTCTCTTTTCTCCCTCTCTCTCTTTCTCTTTTCTTCCTCCTTCCCTCCCTCCCTCCCTTCCTTCTCTTTCTTACCATTTGAAAGCAAGTTGAAAGTTGGGACGCCTGGTGGCTCATTTAAGCATCTGCCTTCAGCTCAGGTCATGATCCCAGGGTCCTGGGATCAAGCCCTGCATTGGGCTCCCTGCTCCATGGGAAGCCTGCTTCTCCCTCTTCCACTCCCCCTGCTTGTGTTCCCTCTCTCGCTATGTCTCTATCTGTCAAATAAATAAATAAAATCTTAAAAAAAAAAAAAAGAAAGTAAGTTGAAAGTATTATGACATTTCACACCAAAATGCTACATCATGTAATTATCCTAAAAAAATAACATTCTACATAATTACAATACCACTATCACACCTATGAAAGTTTATGTTGATAGAATATTACCTAATATAATTTCTGTGTTCAACTTTCTCTAATTATCACCCCTCCACACCCAGAAATTGCATAATAATTTTCAGTGAAGGATCACACATTTTATTTAGATTTCAGGTCTCAAGTCTTCTTTATTTTTTTTTTTAATTTTTTTTTTAAAGATTTTATTTATTTATTTGAGAGAGAGAGAATGAGAGACAGAGAACATGAGAGGGAGGAGGGTCAGAGGGAGAAGCAGACTCCCTGCCGAGCTGGGAGCCCGATGCGGGACTCGATCCCGGGACTCCAGGATCATGACCTGAGCCGAAGGCAGTCGCTTAACCGACTGAGCCACCCAGGCGCCCCTCAAGTCTTCTTTAAACCAGCACAGCTCCCATGGTCCTATTTTATTTTTATTTTAAAATTTTTTGTCTCTCACGATATTGACATTTTTGAAGAGTTCAGGTCAGACTTCTGATAGAATGACCAATAATCTGCATTTTTCTTAATTTTCTTTTTTTTTTAAAAGATTTTTATTTATTTATTTGACAGAGAGAGACACAGCGAGAGAAGGAACACAAGCAGGGGGAGTGGGAGAGGGAGAAGCAGGCTTCCAGCTGAGCAGGGAGCCCGATGCAGGGCTCGATCCCAGGACCTGGGATTATGACCTGAGCCAAAGGCAGACGCTTAATGACTGAGCCACCCAGGCATCCCTTAATTTTCTTTTCCTGAATGGTCATGTTCATGTTACACATTTGGAAAGAACACTCCATGTTTTTGATGATGTTGTGTCCTCATCACATCACATCCCATCAGGAGGCATATGATATTATTTCCCATCAGGAGGCATATGAGTATTTTGTCTCCTTAGTGGTAATGCTAAGTTTGATTACTTGTTTAACGTGGTGTCCACCCAATCTCTTCACAATAAAGACATCTTTTTCTCTCTGAATGTAATAGGGAATCTTTGGGGTGGCACCCTAAGACTATGTGAATATTCTGTTTAACAACAACCTTTCACCCAGTGGTATTAGCATCCATTGATGATCCTTGCTTGTATATGTTATTATATTAGTAGTTGCAAAATAGATAATATATAATTTACCATTCCTTCTACATTTTTAATTTATTTATTTATTTTTAAAGATTTTATTTATTTATTTATTTGACAGAGGGATAGAGAGCACAAGTAGGCAGAGCGGCAGGCAGAGAGAGAGGGAGAAGCATACTCCCCGCTGAGCAGAGAGCCCAAAGTGGGACTCGATTCCAGCACTCTGGGATCATGACCTGAGCTGAAGACAGACACTTAACCATCTGAGCCACCCAGGCACCCCCATTCTACATTTTTTAAGCTGACATTCTGTAAAGAAGCCCTTTCTCTCCTCCCTCCCATCATACTGGTTTTTTTCTTTTTGTTCTTGTTTTTTTTGAAGTATCATTATGGGCTCATAGGTTCTTTTTGCATAGGACATTTTGACTAGAAGTAAAGTAGTGCTTTTCTGCATATATTTTCATAGTGCTTAATATGAATTTATTAGGTCTTTTTCTTATATGATACTTCATAATCAGTTGTCTATGTGAAATAACATATTTGAATAAATAGCATAGTGTGGAGCTCCATTAAAAACACTTGCCCCTGGGGGGTGCCTGGGGGCTCAGTTGGGTAAGGATCCAACTCTTGATTTTGTCTCAGGTCATGATCTCAGAGTCCTGAGATCAAGCCCCATGTTGTGCTCCACGATGGTCCCCACGATGGGCATGGAGCCTGCTTAAGATTTTCTCTCTCCCTCCCCATCTGCCCCTCCCCCTGTTCTTGAGTGTGTGCTCCCTCTCTCTCTCTCAAAAAAAACAAAAACAAAAACACTTGCCCCTTCCCCAACTTTGAGATGTTGTTGTAGTCAGGTTTAAAGTTTTTTCATCATTTACCATGGTTAACAACTATGGTAGTGATTTATTTTCATTTATTTTCCTTTGGTGACTTCAACATGAAATCAAATCTGGTATTGTTATTAAAAATTCATTGGGTAAAATTCCTAGTGATAAAATATAATACACAGAAATACACTTCTCTCCCCTTCTCCCTGACAACAATGCACATGCATTTAATGTCCTCTCTGTCTTATTTTTAGGATCGAAGATTCAATGATGAAATTGACAAGCTAACTGGATACAAGACAAAATCACTATTGTGCATGCCTATCCGAAGCAGTGATGGTGAGATTATTGGTGTGGCCCAAGCGATAAATAAGATTCCTGAAGGTGCTCCATTTACTGAAGATGATGAAAAAGTAAGTTTTCATGCCTTTTGTGAGTTGTACTCTCCTTGATCACTGATTGCTGTTCTCCCTGAAAAGGACAGGACTTGTGTGAATAGTTGTTGGATTAACCTATTCATAGATCAAAGAGCTTTTTCTCATGTTATACAAAATGTAATGGAAGTTTGGGATATTTCATAGAATGTGTTACAATTGAAAATAATTACTTCATCTTTTTCTTAGTTTACTTTTCATTGCAAGCCTCAGTAGTATTCTTTCCTTGGTCTTTATCTTCCGTATACATAAGCTTTTTAATTGAGGATCACACCACCACTACACATGGCCCAAGGGAAGATATGGAATTAGGTGGATGACTGTGTTTCAGAAACTCAACACTTGCTCTTGTGTTTTCATAACTACCATGAAGAATTGTTTTCTCAGTTCTTATATAAAAATCTCAATAAAATGAATGTTATTTAATTGTTATTCCAAATTACTAATAAAGAGAATGTTATTTTTGTCTCTGAAGAACAGTTGGCTTTGGTAGAAGTGATGTATTTTTGTTCTGAAATGTTAAGTTCTTTCACCATAGTTTATTCCAGCTCATATTAAAAGAGAGACTCTTCAAAAAGCTGGAGTTCTTTCTGACTTTGAAGCTCTTACCTTCATATTGAATAAAATCTGGTGGAATATTTATGAAATTTGTGGTAAAGCAAATCTCAAATTAGTTTAAGTTTGATGACTGCCATACACCTATTTGATTAAAAAAAAAACACTATAATTTAACCTTCTGGATGTGAGCTTGCTATTTGCTAGTGCTAATTACTAATGCATTAAATGAATGCAAATGTTCTGGTACAAAAAGTCAGCGTAAAATAAGATTATAAGGAGATAAGATTTTTTTTTTTTAAAGATTTTATTTATTTGAGAGAGAGAGAATGAGAGACAGAGAGCAGGAGAGGGAGGAGGGTCAGAGGGAGAAGCAGACTCCCTGCCGAGCAGGGAGCCCGATGCGGGACTCGATCCCGGGACTCCAGGATCATGACCTGAGCCGAAGGCAGTTGCTTAACCAACTGAGCCACCCAGGAGCCCAGGAGATAAGATTTTTAAGTGAAGAGAGTCCTTTACTGAGGTCATATCTGTAGTTGAATTTGAATATCCCAAATCCCGGAAAAGGTTTATAAACCCTTAGAGCATGATAGGACCTCAGACAATTTCTTATCGATTCAGTGAAAAACTACAGTGTGAAGGCACTTGTGTTGGGGCTGTAGGAAGCACAAAGATAAAACCCAAGTGTTTATGCCATCCTGGAGCTGAACAAGGCAGAAGGCAAGATCATTAATAAGATGACCTAGAACATGCTATGAATGCCTAGGAAAGGGAGGGTTCATCTCACCTGAAGAACCTGAAGAGGCTTCTTGGAAGAGGTGGCATTTGCTCTGATCTCTCAAGAAAGCCTAGGCTTCCATAAGACAGAGTCGGGTGAGAAGATGAGGGCATTTAGGGATGTATACAATGTAGGCTGCCTCATTCACTCTGCAAATGCTTCCATGGAATGTACCGATAAAGCAAAAATGTTATTTTGTACCAATGTGACAGAGTCTTATAATAATGTGCCTCTTATAAGGATTCAGATAAAAGGATTAGAGTTTTGTGTTTTTCCAAACATACAACCACCTGCCCACGACATCTTCCAAACAGTTTAGTTTATGGATGGTAGTCCTGCCTTCACCCTGCCTCCTTCATTTTTTAAAAGGATCCTGTTATATATTTAATTCTCATCTCTGATTGCACTTATGTTAGATTTCTTTTCTGAACTTCTCTCAGTAGATTTATACTTATGGCCTAGGGCTTCATGGGCTCTGAGTGATTTACAGGGAAGGTCTACACAGGGCTTTGTCTTGAACAGCATCAGTGTTTAGCTCTATTGAGAACGAGGGCTGGGACGGAGGTCTGGCCCCACTAAGGACAAATGGGCCTGCTTTGGGTGAGACACTTAATCTTGTGACTCTCCTTTTTCTGCCCTGTCAACTATACTATTCACCATTTACAGCATGAGAATTAAATAAGATCATAAATTACAAATACTTTGTAAAATGTAAGAAGCTAGGTAAATATAAAACATAAATTTTTATTTTTAAATTATCATTTTCCCAAGAGTTTGAAATGTTCTTCTATATTTGTCACTTATCCTCAGGCAACTTACTTCTTAGATTCAATGTCATTTGAGTATCACATTTGTTCCATGTGTTATATTTTTCTCCTTTGCAATTATCCCATGTGCCCACAATTGCATTTTATTTTTCAGCCTCTACAATTCCCTCACCTGACTTAAAAACCCTACTCTAGTCTTACTTCTTGGATGAAGTCTTGCCAGTTAGGGCAAGTTGATTATGCTCATGCAGGTGACACTAGATGGAGAGTATTTTATCTCAACTTCTATATCTGGTTATTGTTTTTTCCTGCAGGGATTCTTGTGTTTATAATATATTATAAACAAAACAGAAGTGGTGAAGAAGAAAAGCAGAAAACAAAATCTAGAAATGATTAATGGGAAAGAACAAGATCTAGAGACTTGTTTCAAGTAAGAGGAGATGTTGTGACATAATGACCACATATAGGCCATAGCAATAGTCTACCCTGGTTGAAATTCCATCTCTGCCATAGCTGTGTAACCTTGGGCAAGTTGCTTAGTTGTTTTGTGCTCCAATTTCCTCCTCTTGGAAGAGAGATGATAATAATAATACCTATTTCATGAGGCTATAGGGGGATTATATGAGAGAATACAGGGAGAGAACTTGGAAGAGCGCCTAGCACATAGTAAGTCCTCATAAAAAATTAGCTCTCACTGACAGCACATTAATACATGTGAGATACAGTCTGGTCTCTGTTTAAAAACTAGTTCTATATAAGTTGTCTATAAGTTTTTATTAATGACAGCCTATATACCTGTTCCACTATTGGGAGTTACAACAATGAAATGAGGCTTATATGTCTTTATAAATTCACATTTCTCTTGTGTGATTGTTAATGCATAGAGTATTTTACTTGGCACAAGTGAAAAAGAAAAGTCTTGGCATAAGACTATGCTTATACTAATTTGTATTCTACTTTTTAGAGTTATTTCTTACATATATGTCCACATGTGAATGTAGTCTATATTTGCCATTATTAGGGATTATGAAGTTTTTTTCTTTTTCTTTTTCTACATAGCCTAGTTTGCTTAGTCATTGTCCTATTACTGGAAATTTGGGTTATTTCCAGTTTTTCACTAATTCAAAATAGCCCCTGAATGAACATCTTGAACAAATTACCTTTTTCTTTTGTGTTATTTCCTTTGGGTATATTCCAAAGACTGAAATTACTGAGTCAAAGGGCGAGAAAAGTTTTATAGCTCTCATTCCAAGATACAGATAGCTTTCGGAATACTGAACCTATTTACAATAGTAGTAGCTTGCCTGTACCTCTTTTTTGCAGAGTCCTGCCACCTTTGTTCAGTCCCCATTTTAAAACTCAAATTAGTTTTCCGCAGTCTGCCAGCCGGCTTCAGACAACCTCCTCCCACACTCACCAGTATAACTTAAGCAACAGAAGTTTCAGTGTTGCCTGCAAGTAAGGAAGAAAGGAAGCGAACTGGAAGGCCCGTGCTCAGTGCTAGGTAGGGGCTCCAGATCAGATAGCCTTCGAAGCAGGTTCAAGTCTTTGCGCTGCTGCTTATTAGCTGAGTGACCTTGAGCAAGTCGCTCAATTTTTCTTAGCCTCAGAACGTCTGTAATAGTGTTGTGGTGAGGGATAAAATAGATAGAGATATAAAGTGCTTAAGGTAGCACTTACCAGTAAATGAACTTCATGAAATCTTGTCATCTATTTCAAAGTAGAACTAAAATAATTTGAACCTTATTTGTTATTTTACTTTATACACATAACTGCTATGTCATCGTTTGTATGGGTAGTGATAAATTTATTGCACATTTAGCGTAATATGATTTGTATGTCCTGATATCTTAAAATGTCAACTTCTGGAGAGCATCAGCTGTGTTGTGTTTGGTGTAATTCCAAATATTTTGCAATATGAGAATCAGTAAATTATTTGCCTGGGATAAATTGAAAATTAAAAGTGGTATATTCATTTCTGGGCCATTTATATATCTAACACAGTTGTGCATACATCATATTGTGTTTCTTGAAAATTCTATGCCTATATTTCAAGGGCTGTGCCGTATCACATAAAGTTGATGGAAAAGCCTGGAAAAGTCATCAAGATAATTTCCCACCAACCCTGCCCTCATCCAATGCAGGAATCTTTACCTGACAGATGGTCATCCAGACCCTGCCTAAAAACTTCACTTTTAATGACTTTAAAAGCATCATACTCTTTAAAGTTCTTGCATAATAGCAGTAATTTTATCAGCAGTGGTTAAAGTTTTGTGTGAAATAACAGTCTACCATAGGCACATATTAATAATTTAAATTACATACTGACAAATTACTAGTTCTGTAATTCACGTTGGAAGTGCACACGAAGGCAGATCATACAAAGGAGATGACTGGAATTTCCTGGTTCACTTCATGGGTTTCTAGCAAATGTCCCTGTTCTTCAGTGATACGTATAAGCTAGCTGATTTAGGTGGTATGACTATGTTCCTTTCATCCAATTAATTTATCACTTTGTTATTCTTGGGTGAGTAAAGAGAGGCATTATTTTGCAGAATAAAATGAGACCTGGATGGGGAGCAAACACTGGTTATCTATCAAGATGTAGGGGCAGGCCAGATGAAACCTGGAATATGGCAATGAAGATGGGCTCTTATCTGCCCTTCCCAGTTTGCCCATACCTGGTCCCCAAAGGAGCCATTTCTTATTGCAGTACTTCATAAAGACAATGTCTATTACATTCACTTTCCAACAGCTGACATATAAGCAGCTGTGGCTTGAAGTTCTCCAGCTAATCTCAACAGGGTTTCTTTAGTGTGTGGTCACCTCTCTCCAGCTCATAATTCAGAATGTTCAGCCACCCTGCTGCTCTCCTTCAT